AGATTTACCTCACGACCAATCCACCCTTGACCAAATCGTGAGGGCACTCTTCCCCCTTCGATCGCGCTACCTGCCGAAACCAAATTTCAACTCAGTCAATTCAACTTGCTGAAACAGCATTTGAACGTAGCGATGCTTTCAGACGAAGGTCTATGGGAAGGAAGAATGACTAGCTTCACTGAGCTAGCCACGAAACCTCGGAATACGTCCAGGAAGGGGGGACAAGGTCAGCTGACCTGACGTCAGTTAGAAAGAAGGGAACGGCTCACATCCTGGCGTTTCGGGGGAGGGGGACTCCAAGGAACTTCGCGAAGAACCGTTACACGGTTCACATTCCTCCAGTTCTTTACACCCAAAATTCTTATGTCCTGCCCCACACATTCTTCCCATCTTAATCTTGGTCTTCCCATTCTATTTCCTTCTGGTTTAGTATTAAGTGTTTTCTTAATCTCTCTATTCTCGCTGGCACATATTATGTGTCCAACCCATTCAAGCATTTTCACCTTTATAAATCCAATAATGTCTGGTCCATTAAATAGTTTATATAGCTCATGGTTATATCTCTTCCTCCATATTCCATTTTCTTCCACTGGTCCGAAGATATATCTCAAGATCCCTCTTTCAAATATAGTTAACAGTCTTTCATCCTATCTTGACAGTGGCCAGGTCTCAGAGGCATAAGATAGCACTGATCTTATAAGTACTTTATACATTACAGTTTTGGTTTTCCTGGGTATTAATTGGGATTTCAGGTGTTTCCTAAGGCCATGGAGACATTTATTTGCCGCAAGTACACGCTTTCTTATTTCATCATTGATATTTTTACAGTTAACTTCTGATCCAAGGTAAGTGAAACTACATACTGCCTCAAATTTATATGAGCCAATTTCAATATATGCAAGTCCATTAGCAGCCTTTCTTGGTTACCGGCATGTACTTTGTTTTATTTTGGTTAATTTGTAGATTCGTCTTTTTTGCTGCTCTTTCCAAATTAAGAAAAGCTTCTTTCATGGATTTTTGTGTTCTACCAGTTATATCAATATCATCTGCAAATGCCAAAATTTGAACTGACTTATAGAATATAGTTCCCCTTGTCTTGATGGCCTGCAGTTGTTTCATATTATGAAATTCTTAAAAAAATAAATGGGTGTAGCATCAGTAGCATCATTTTAGTGATAGCCTGTACAAATATTACTGTAAACATTCCACCTGAAAAATCATTTTAATATTTGATTTCACAGTTATGGATTTAGATCTGTCAAGAAAAATTAAAAGTTAGGAAACCCTTTGAAGATATGGATAAACCAATATTTTGGAAATGAAACAGGTTTTACTAACAGAATGGAAGAACTGACAAGTTTCAACTTTTTAATTATGTTTTTTTGTTTATTTAATGGCACTTTCAATAGACTGGATTGTACAGCATCAAATTATAGAATGATTAGTGAATAATGAATTGGAAAATATATAGAAGGAAGCAGTCATGGTCTACTTTGTGGTAGTATCCTGGCAGTTGCTTGGGGATGGGCATGAAAATCAGTCAAGATATCTAGTTTGCAGGCCACAATTTGAAACCAAACCTGTTTAATATGAAGCAACAGTGCTACCTACTCAACCACAATGTTTAGTTCGAACCTGTCCGTCCCTTGACCTGTCACTGAAATCGAAATTAAGAGAATTCTTTCAGAGAAGTGTATGATGTAATGGCAGTTTTGGTAGAAGTCTGAATTCATGGTAGTAATTCAAAGTAACATAAATTGATAATTTGTCTTTCATTTAACTTTACACAACATTACACCACACCTCACACAAAGACAATCTGAAATGTATGGGACCTGCAGAAAGGTATTCCTAACAGAACATTTGCACATGCTTGCACACTTATAAAATTATGGACAATGCACAGCTTATCAATATACAAATTTTAGTTTTGATTGTATCCAGTGTATGATAGAAAAGAATGACAATATCTTATAAAAATATTGTGGTGTACAGACCTATTGCTAGGCAAAGACCTCAAAACAAATGAGACAACAGCCATTTCTATGCAACAGCACAGTAAACAGCCCTCTACAATAATAGTTACTGTTGGAAACAGTGGACTGCAGCAATGGAAATGAGAGGGGGGTCTGTGCCCTGTGCCGAGGAGTTATCTTGACAGTTCAGGTGACCCAGTAACTAGGCTTAGGGCCCCATGAGGCTCACCTTACATTTGATGGACGGAATATCCCCTTTGTCAGTCATGTAAAATTTCTGGGTGTAATCTTCAATAAGAGAGTTAAATTATTGAAGGCAATGTCTTAAAAATATTTATTATAATCCCCTATTCAAAACAGCATCTAAGCCTCAACATTAAACTGACCCTCCATAAGGTACTGAACAGATTTGTAATTACTTATGCTTGTCCCACCTGGGAATTAGAGGCTATCTGCCTCTTAAAACTGCAGTGACTACAAACCAAGGTCTCTACACCATCGGAAATTCTCCAAGGTGCACACCAGTCTATGATTTGCATACTGCTTTCAACGTTCTATAGGGGCATGATTAAATGACAAAATTGCGTGGGAAAGGAACAGAAGTCATGAGAACGAACATGTTTGCGATATAGGACAAGGCAAAGCCAGATATAGGAAATATAAGAGGCTTAAACTTGGCGGTGGTCAAGCTTATGACCATTCAAGTTACTAAGCTGCTGTTTTAGCATAAGATACATAAGATAGGCATGATCTGCTTTGCAAAGCTTGTACTGACAGGACTTGTATATAGCGCAAAATGAAGAATTTCTGATAACATGGTATGTGTAATATGTACATTTGACAAAAGGCCAAGCATATTCATATGAGAGAAACCCATCTTGTTAGAGAGGATGTTACATAAGGATTATTACTGCAAGGGTTCAGTTGGGGGAAAAATCTCTGGACATGAGTCTCAAGGGGCTTGATGTCAAGATGAAATGATTGGCTGTAAACTGCCAATCATAAAGTAACTTTTGACTTTGACTCTGGGGGGTATGTGGTAGCATAGTTGGTTGAGGCACTATGCTACAAGCAGGAAGGTCGTGGGTTCGAGTCCTGATGAGGTGGATTTTTTTATTGACCTACACCTTCCAGCTGCACTATAGCCCTGGGGTCAGAGTACCATGAACTTCCTGGGGGGTAAAGGGCAGCTGGCACATAAGGCTGACAACCTTATCGCCATCTATGAGCCGACTGTTTAGAGAAAATGTGGGAGCCTCGACATCTCACAGCCTGTTACAGGGATAGCTTTACCTTTTTTTTTAACCTTTACCTTTGACCCATGAGTTGTCAGTTCTTAGCTGAGAGATGAGTTCTGCATGGGAGGCTGTGAAGATGGAACCTGAGTGCATGAAGCTGAAAGATCATGACTATTAGAAGCTGTTGCCAGGGAATGGCTGAGAAAGACACAACAGGCTAGAAAGAGGCCTAGCAGGTGCTGTGGTGATTTGTAAATTGTGGAGTGGAGATTATTGATAGTGCTGTAATTATTTGCAGTTCCGAGTGGTGTGTATAAGTGGTCAATAAATCCATTCACCAATTCATACCCCATCTATAGCCAACAACACATGACAAAAGTAAATTAAATTAACATAATATTAACATGTAATGTTCAAAATGGAAGATGACAGTGTCCAGTTCACAGATAGCACCACAGTTACCCAGTAAATTTACACTTAGCCACAAAATAATCAGGGATATGAACTTTCATCAGATACTTGATGTGAAAATGTGCAGTGAACAAGATTACTCTAAAGATGGTACAAAATAGCTGAGGGCCAAAGCATCCAAATCAAGAGTCTTCCATTACTCTGGCATAACATTTCAAATGTATTTTAATCAGAATAACTTCAAGATCTCAATGGTAATGGATGAACAACCTCTATTAACTTAGAAAGAAAGAGCATAACAGGGCTGTTTTGAGTTATAAGTAAGGTTCACTAGTAATGTGACAAGGGCCAAAAAAAAAATGCTTCACAGAAAACAATTCCTGAACTTCAAAACCAGATAAAAAATTAAATGTAAGTAAAAGATTAAACAGTTGCAAAAACCTAGAGACTGAAAAAATATATTCCATTAAGTTTTACTTTATTCAATGGCTGGCTATTAAAACGAAATTTAAAATTTTCCCCAAGTTCAAAAAACAGATTCTCTATTCAGCATAAAGACTGGCATGAAGAGATGACCACTATACTCTTATCGCATGACTACTGTTGCTGTGCTTGGAAAAGTGTGGGTCAGCTGCAAATCTGAAACCTCCCAAGCTCTGCACTAGATGGAAAATGTCTCCAAGCCTGAGCTAAGTCACAGAAGAGGAGAAAGGAACATGAAGGATGGAAAGCTTAAGCAGGGAGTATATGGGAGGACTGGACTATTCCCATCCGTCGCAATATCTTTGTTGTGGCGAATCCATATCTGTATCTATAACAGTCACTGAAGCTGAGAGATATTTTGCTACATTTGTACTTGATGAAAGCTGCAGACACTGGAGACACTGCTGTCCACCAGATTATTTTTCAATACCAAATTTCTTCTAGCCATGCATATGCACAAAAATGCACATACTCAGTTTTACTATCATCAACTGAGGCAAAGTTGGGCAGGATGCTAAAGCACATGGTGCAAACAATGGTATATGGTACAGGTTGGCAAGATTATGTTCTTGACCTGTTTACTCGATGAAAGCCTTTCTGAGACACTGATATCCACCAGGTAATTCTTAAGCTCTCGGCTTGCCTCCTGCTGTGCATACGCATGAGAAAAAATATATTTGTCAAAATCAGATTAAGTTGGACTGTTTTTGCGCAAAATAAGCAAGGGTTACAATACATGGTTGGCAAGACATTCCCCATCGATGTTCTCTTGAACTGTCATCTGATGCTTGCACTGAAGTAAAATAATCTCATAAACCAAAGTATACAAAATTGGAATTATTATAACGGAATCATTAATTATAACGCCACAATGAGCTGAAGACTGAAAAAGTGTAGTGAGGGAAATCAGTGTACTGATTTAATATTTAAGAGAAGAAAAATTATAAATCATCAAATTAAAACCATCATCACTGGAATTTAGAAATAAAAGGTGCTAGACAAGTAGGCTGTGACATGTGAATGAAATATAAAATGTTCTTTTTCCTCTTATCGCTTTCACTCTTCCGTGTTCATTTCATCTCAGACTAGTGTTGAGGAACTGCACAAACAACAAGCCAGTCTTGCTGATGTCATTACTCGGGTGGAGTTTTGTGTAAGCAAGGAATTGTCTTCGCAGCCGTGTCAGTTGAGCAGCTGTCATGTTGGCACCATTAGTCAACAATACACAGTCCTTGTAGCCAGGGATCTTAACTTCACCTTCTAAACCCAACTTCTGTGCTGACAAAATGGCCTGTAATCCAAAGAGTGATAGGAATAATTTAGCCAGTATATATCATGCATTTGTATAAGGTGGCCTTGTTTTGTGTACAGGTGGTTCTTCCAAATAATGACCAAACTCTTTTTCATGTGGATCAATTTGAAAGTCAGCCCAAGCATGCCAATTGCTTACTGCAAACATGTAACAACTACACTGTTCACTCAGCATATACTTATGAAATTTACAATTATACTTCACGGGTCATGAGAATCTGGACAAGTTCACATTAAATTACAAATCTAATTTCTCTGTTGTACTGACAGCTGAGAATAATCACTCCTATTAAGTCTAAACTTATCATTTAACCACTTATTCAATCAAGAGAACAGTAATAATCTGTATGGAAAGAACTTCTGACGACAGCTTAAGGCTTCACTGTAGTCACAGACAATTCCCTGCGGATTACAGTATATATGAGGTTATTGATTTACTGTTGACAGAAATAACTGGCAGCAGATAAACTACACTGCATCGAGACAAAGCATACTCACTGTCACAACATCCTGTGTTATCCTGTCGATCTCATACAAAAAGTTTGTTGATGACAGTGGTGCCTGGGGGGAAAAACAGGCCATTAGTTACAATAAAAATATTTAGGCCGTGCCATAGCTCAAGCAGTTAGTCGCTGGCTTCCCACTGCAGCGGCCCGGGTTTGATCCTGGGTCTGATCAAGTGGGATTTGTGGTGGACAAATTGGCACTGGGGCAGGTTTTCTTAGAGTACTTTGGTTTCCCCTGCCAATCTTCATTCCACCAATTGCTCCACAATCACTATCACCTAGCATCTGGGGCTGGTACAATAGGCCAGAAGTGGCTGTAGTACAAGGGACTTGGTCCCATCCCACCAGCAATAAAAAAAATAATACACTAAAAATAACAGTAATTATGCCACAGTGCTCTTGGAATTGCAACATCCAAAGCTTTGATCTTATTAAGCACATGTAATAACATTCTTTATCATGTATTTGATCATTTCATTTCATTTCATATCATAGTTATTCCAATCAGTACATTCCATACAACTTTTTGCTGGCTTCTAACAATATGAACAGAAAAGTTTCTGATTTTGGTACTTTAAGCTATGAACAGATTGATAGAAATGGAAATTAAAAAAAAAGAAAGTCCCTACATGAATGCAGTCAACTTTATGTACAATAATGGAAATTTTGGATATTTTTAAGACTTGAATCAGGAGCATAACAAACAGGAGACAGATATGGTGTCCACTGCATGTTCAACATTCAGAATCATCAATTATGATTTTTCAAAATAAAAATTGTGCTTTTCATGTTACATATTGAGAAACAGTAAGTCAATACTGACATCTATAACTGAACAAGACATGCAGTAGTATGGTGTGCTAACAAAAGTCACTGCAGAAGATGACAGAATTACTAACACACTGCGTTGACTGGTTGGGAGGGGGAGCTTTTCTCTCAAATAAAACACTGTGCACTTGATCAACTGGAACTTTATTTCCAGGCAGCACAGTGAAGAGAGGAGAATCCCATCGGTTCCTACTGTCTGGTGGTTCAAAGCGCATTGTCAGAGCATCAAATGTCTCCTGTGTGTAGCAATCATCCTCTTTTTCTCTCAGGTTATTCCATTCCCAAGCTGTGTTAACTGTAACTTCACAGTGAACTGTGCATTGCGTTGTCTTGCTTGCCTTGGACATGCAGTACAATTCATAGCGATAACCTGCACAAATATAAAAAACCCATTAATTCTAGGCACCAATGCTTATTAAACGTGGGATCAAACATTATCGACATGTCATTTACCTTTTATGTAATTTCCAGCATCAATTATGACAATGTCTTCTCTACTAATTAATCTGAAAATCAGATGAGAACAAGCATTATGGCCATAATTTTTTTCTGAAATGTGATGGAAAACTGAGAAGGAAGACAATTTAATCCATGCCCACTGAATTTTAACTGGCGAATGGTGAATACTGATTCATTTATAACACGTTTTGTAAATATAACTGTGAGATACTGCATTTGAAAACATATGCATACACGTCACTACCTTTGGGCTTCAGACTTGATGAGTCCACGGACCTGTTTTTCTTTCGTTGCATCTGAAAGAACATTTTGAGGCAGTTGAGAACACCAGACATATGCAGCATCCTTATACACTGATGAATAAATTAATACGTAAACTTCTGTGAAACACATATTTACAAGGCATGAAGTAACAAAAGGTAACAAGCATTGGACTTGCCTAGAAATATTACATTTTTCTGGGTTCCGGAAGCAGTGATTATATCGTTTTCATTAACAAGATGCACTGTTTTTTCACGTACGTCTTCAAAGTATGACTTTATTTCCAAAGCCCTTGCAGATTTTCCGCTAGATGGAATCCCTGTTATCAAAATAAGAGGCATTTAAAATAAGTTAATTTATATTTATTTGTACTAACCTCTCACAGTAATCACACAAATGCAAGCTTAAGAGGCTTAAGAGAGCATCGCAGTTCTATACTACTATCTCGCGTTTTCCGTAACCAATCAACAAACTAGACGGAAACAGAATTTGGTTGGGTAATCAAGATCGATGAAGATGATTAAGATCATCAAGATGTCGGAGGCATTGTGATTGGTGGAGGTAGTTATAGGCATAACTTTATGAACGTTATTAACACTGTTAACGTTAACGAATACTTGATAATTTCTCCCCCAATTGTAGGTTGGTCAAGGGTTGTTCGAAAATGAATGATTCAAGTACAAGAAATACCCGAAAAATGAGAAACCCGCATGACGACGAAGAAGAGAAAGCTCATTTTCAAAGAATTGTTGCGGCTTTCAAATATTACAGGTGAGATGGCACAGATAATGGTGATTTCAAAAGAAACCATAGTGCGGCATTGTTCTAACCTACACGAAACTTTAAGCCGTTAACAGATAATTTGAAAATGTGGAACTGTGCAGTATGCGAGCTCTTATGCAGAGTTAGGTTATGCATGTTTCATATGCCAATTGTGTGTAAAGTAACCAGATTTTTCGTACGAGACGACTCTTCGAAACACCACCGCATCTTTTGCTCCAGTAGAACCTTTTAGGGCAAAAGATAAACTTGCGGCTGTGTTGTGCAGCTTTTTTTTATTGATTATATTTATTTATATCGTCTCCATAGATCATTGTTAAAGATATAGGATAAGTCAGTTACTGTACATGGGCATTTACAATAAGAGAATATAGTTACAATACTTACAATAATTTACAATAGATTACAGTAGTTTACAATAGTTAAGATTTCATATAGTGTGAGGTGGAATCCATATTAGGTCCCCTCGGAACGCCGGCTACTATATGTCCTATTGTACCTGTACTGGTGATAATGCTTATGGAGAATTTGACAGAATGAGGATTGGCAGGGGAAACCGAAGTAGTCGGAGAAAACCTGCCCCAGCGCCACTTTGTCCATCACAAAGCCCACTTGACTAGACTGCAGCGATGGGGAGCCCGCGACTAACCGCTTAAGCTATGGCGCAGCCTTTGAGATAATATTGGTGAATTTGGTGATAGTACTGGTATAACATTTAACTGTAGACTCTACACTGCAACATCTCATTACATCTGTTCTCCCTTCCTGGTGCAGCTTCTTGGTATCTGCAATCTCTCCAGAGTAGCCCGTTCAGGTACATCTCCAACTGTGTTATCTTGGTTGCTGGAAAAAAGAAAGGAAAACTGCGCAGTAGGGATTCCTAAAACCGATTATTCATGAATTATGTAATTATAATTGATTAGTGTTTGTCTCACACGAGAGAAACTCATCCACTTTATAAAAACAATGATCGAGTAGGTATGTTTTCAAAGCGTTTTTGAACTTATATAGTACCGGTATTTCTTTAATATATCGTGGCAGATGATTTAGCAGTCGAAGTCCTACGTTGTTAAAGTTGTTCTTGCCTAGACTTGTATTACATTGGATGATGTGCAAGTCATCTTTTTTCCTTGTGTTGTATGAGTGTAATCGTGAGTTGGTTGTGAAATCATTCAAATTTGATTTTATGTATATTAGAGTTTTGTATATGTACAAAGATGGTAGAGGTAATATATGTAATGATTTGAAAATTTGTTTACAACTAGTTGTTTCTGGGACCTGGGTCATAGCTCTTATAGCTCTCTTCTGTAATTTAAAGATCAATTTTGCATTTACCGAGTTGCCCCAAAACAGCAGTCCGTATGATAAGAAAGACTGGAAATGAGCATAATATAACATGTGGACAGTCTCTAGTCCAGTCACTCTTCTAACTACCCTTAGGCCAAAACATACTTCACATAAGTTGTTCGCTAGCTTTTGCATATGCATAGTCCATCTTAGATGCTTATCTAGCCAGACTCCCAGGAATTTTGAGTGATCTGTGTAGTTGATAACAGTGTCATAAATCTTTATTGGAGGGCATTCAAGTTGTAGTTTTTGAGGATGATGAAAGGCTATTGCAATTGTTTTCTCTTTATTAATAGCTAATTGATTCCTCTCAAACCACTCTGTGATTTTGTTTATTGTTTCATTCGTTTTCATTTGAATTTCGTTAGCGCTATTTCCTGCTATAAAAATGCTAGTATCATTGGCAAAGAACGTAGGTTTCCCATGGTCTATGCTGCCCTCCAGGTCGTTTACATATAACAGAAACAACACTGGTCCCAGAACGGAACCTTGTGGGACACCATAGCTGATGGGTCTCTTTCGGGATAGGTAATTATATTATATAATGTAAAAATATTAAACACTATAAATGGTACTACTTGTTATTAAAACAATGCTTTGTGTTGTTAATATGCCATGATTGTATTTCCTCAAACCATGACCTCCAGCAGACAGCATTAAGTAAGTGATACTGTTTGCTTAACAGGGCCCATTCCCTTCAGCGAGTTGCAAAGACTGAGAAGTATTTAAGGTCTTTACCAGCTCATCATCAGGCGTTGCTGGAGAACTATCATCAACATTTAACAGAAATCAGAGCCTGCATTGAAAACAACTATCAGATCATCAAATTGATCATCAAAGATGTTGCATACATGTTTGAGAATGTGAACCCGACTGGTCCAGCAGAATCGGTGTGGATAAGTTACTGCATAAATAAGCTAAGGATAATGAATTTACAGGGTAGAACACATAATATTTAGACCTCTTTTCTGTTTACTTAACATGCTTTTATTAAATGTTTTAATAATACTTCATCACATGATTCACTAGAACTTAATGAGTGAAATGCTTGACTGGGTTGGAATGTGTTTTGGTTGGGTCAGACAAATTTTGCCACTATCTGTGCAAGTGAAAGTTAGACTATGAGGACTCAGAGGCCCAGGGTTGGAAATAAAAAAGTTGCTACAAGTGTGGGGAGACATAGTCACCACATTTGTGACATTACCTGTCGTAGTCCAGATCTAGTAACATTATTTAAATGTATTATATGCATGACCCAACTTATTCAGAATTTCTGTAGAGTTGGCACTGATATATCATGGTAGTGAATGTCACAGTGGATTCTGACATGGCAGCAGTGCCACATATCAAAAGGAGAACTTTCCAGGCATCTGAACAGCTAGGTAATGTTAACAACACCATGGCTGAAAGCAGAGTGACTATGTAGCAACTATATTGATGGAAGAAAGGGAAAGATGAAAAGGTGGGATCTGATTTTTATGTTCTGCAACATGGCAGATCTGTTTGACCCAAGTTCAACAGGTTTAAGAAGTTGGAACAGACATTATTCAGTAAATATAACATTTTCATTAATACAGGTTTACTAACCTTGAAGCTGATGCTTAGGAAGAGAAGTTAAATTTATAGCACTTATGCAAGAATGGCACAAATTACAGGATTTATAATAGTTTGCTTCTTTCAATCATAGTCTTTTGCTGTGAGTGTGTGTTATGCAGACTTTCTCCTTGGCATGGCTCAATTGTGAGAACCGAGGCTATGTAATATTGTCATGTGTATTAGCGACTATGGCCAAGGTTTGGATTGGTGAATAGATTTATTGAAGTGTCACAGGTCGTGACTACAAATAATTATAACAGTCTCACTGGTTTACACATTCTAAAGATTGCTGTAACTACAGCACACAAAATAAAATCTCCATTGTCTTCTTTCACTAGTCATTGCTTGGTAACAGATCTTGGGTGGTTAAGACTTCACAGATGAACTATTGAACTCCCTTTTGAGTTCTCTGATGAATGAACTACAACTGAATAAATTTTAGTCTGCATCTGAAGGGGCCCATACATGTACAAGTCTGGCTCGTGAGTCCGACTCGGCCCGGGTTCCAATGAGCCAAACTCGTCCATGCGTGGGTCGCAAAGTTGGGAGTCAGCTCATGCATTTGTGGTGAAATTAATCTGAGCCCAGCTCCCTAGTCAAGCTTGTCAAGTTGGATTCGCGAGCCAGACGTGTATGTGTATGGGACCCTTGAGTCTTATGTTATGACTGATGGTCAGCCAGCCAGTCTGTCTTGGAATAAGGCACCCACCTGAGGCTTACAACCGGATTTTTGTTACTTTCAGACAGTCACAGGTTTATTGATGTTGGACATTCTCTCGGACGAGAGGACGGTTCTGTCGTTTACAGATTCTACTGGTCCTCGCCAGCACAGTCATTCTTGGGTCCGAGTCCCATGGGACTCCCGGTCATATTTTACTCTCTCAGTTTTGAGACTTTACTTTTTGTTGCCTCCTATGACTTTCAGGGCTATGGTGGAGGTATTCAACCCCGCCTCTGTCCTCAAATTCAAAGTAAAAGTTATGAATTCTCAGTCAACGTTATGTTATGATCCACAGTCAGTCGACCAGTCTGTCTTGGACTAAAGCACCTATTTGGGGCTTTAGGCCAGATCTTTATTACTGTCAGACATTTGCAGTCCTGTTGATGTGGGGCACTCTCTCTGATGACAGAACGGGTCTGTCGTTTGCCAGAGTCACAGTCCGGAGCAAAAGGTTTGTTGTCAGTATGTACAATTTACATTTTACATGTTATTAAATGTATGTATATACAACATATACGAGGCCACTTGTCAGTCCAGGTTCAGTACAGCAGATCATGCCCCATCATAAGTAGCTCCTTATATAGGCTACTGGTATCCATGGAAAATGTCTGTTGTCATGGAAATGTGTTTACTGAACCATTGGCTAGCAGTGGACTTCACATCTGTTCGCTGTTGTGGGAACGTGTGTTTGGTGAGCTGTTTGCTAGCAGTGGACTTCTCTGGCTCCACTATTCTGGCTTTCAGGCATCATGTCACAATATGTTTTGTATAGACCACGCGTTCGGGTCTTCTTTTCGCGACTGCTGCTCAGCCGGCTTTTATTCCGTTCGCTGTTGCCTGTTGCGGTGCCGCATCACAGTGCGGGGGTGCTACGCCACCGCGTGGAGGGGGGTGACGGAGCGCTGACTCACCCGCCACGTCACTTGTGGGTAGGGAGGGGTTCTCCGTTGTGCAACTTGTCACAGTATGTTACACTGCTGCCATTATGATGGGCTTATTTTACAGCATGCATAATTGAAACAGCCATATCAAATTTGTATAGGGAAATTTTTGGAACACTGAGGATTAATATTAAAATACAGTCAACTCTTGATTATCTGGGATAATGGTGGGGATGGAAATCACGATTAATCGAAAACCCGGTTAAGACAAATTTTATTAAAAGTAGTACTGTAATACTGTACCTTCATAATACTATAGGCCTACCTGTATTTAAATTTATTCAACCTCATTTTTATGTCATCTCATGGCCTATTTAATACTTTTTTTACATTACGCTGAAGTATGAATTAGTTATTTCAATCACAGTCTTCAACAACATCCAACACTTTTTACAAATATTCACACTTAACACTTAAAACAATTTAATATTGCCGTTTACTTTTTCGCGGCATTTTCCTTTTTCTGTTGAATACTTAACACAACACGCTTCCTTTTACACCCTGACATTTTGCTAATGCACTTGAAGATTGATACAAAGATACTAACTGGGGCGATGTATCTGTCCTTGAAACTTTCCACAAATCCTTGCATTCTTTCACCCCTACCCTAGAACATTGTGTTAGCATAACGGGACCAAAGAATGCAGAGCTCGGTTCACACTAGTGCGAAAATAGTGTTACAACTCGCCATGTGAAACAAAAGTGAATGAATGTTAAACAACATATAAGCCTCAAAAAAGCCTCAGTAGCCCCGGTTAAGCCGCAGACTGGTTAATCCACCCCCGGATAATCGAGAGTTGACTGTATTGAGATAAAGTTTGAGGTTTTGGATGGACTGCATTTGCCTTTCCTAGTATATCTCATTTTGGGCTTTTGTAATTGTGAATGGAAAACCATATTGGTTTATATTTCATTTGTGTATACAGATGTACTGGATGATTTTAATTTATAGGGCAAAGCTGTGAGTTTGCACCCAAGTGTAGCTGACCTTGAGAAAGTGCAGGCTACACTTAAACAGTTTGTGCGAGACTGGAGTGAAGAAGGGGCCCAAGAACGAGAGACCTGCTACCAGCCAATAGTGGAGGAGATAGTTTCTCACTTCCCAGCAGACTTGTGGTAATGACGAATTTATTATTTGACCCCAGTTCTCTGTTTGAAATTTGCTCATAGCAGTTCTTTGTATGGGATAACTTTGTGGTCTTTGCTGTTAGCTCTGACATCTCAAGCACTTATACTAACAAACCTGGCCAGGTCACTTGATTTAAGATGGCACAAAATTGCATTATGTTCTTTATACAGGCAAACCTATGAACTCAACAGCCAGTTCAAGAAGTTTTAATAAGGACTCTGATGTGTTTCATGGAGACCTCCATTTTGCATGAAAGGAGGGAAGACAGAAGGCCACCCAAACCTCATACTTTTTGGTTTCCTACAGTTGGTAATAACATGAAAGATACATTAATTTGTGAGGCTGGAGTAATGCCAGCATCACTTAATATGGTATCTGAAATGATATATATATATATATAGTAATAGATCTTTGAAAGATGTGCTACTTCATTTAAGGTAATTTATTTGTAGAATGTAAAACATCAAAATCTGAAATGATGTATAGTAGTAGATCTGCGAAGGGTATGCTACTTATGAGGAAATTTATTTGCAGAATGTAAAATATCAAAATGGTGGCTCATGAAATCTCTGATTAGCTTTTGCTTTAATGTCAACAGGTTCTGTATGAAGTATTGTGTAGTGGTTGACAGTTACAAACCTGACAATAGTGAAAAATTCTGTGGTAATGTCTGATAAATTTAATGTAGATAAAATCTGTACCTAAGTAATAAGCACATCCAAAAGGGTGACATAGATGAAGAGTTCTGTCTTCTCTATTCTAATGCAGTGTAGCTTTTTGAAAGTCAACTGACATTTTGTAGGAACATGTTGACATGTTGCCTCTATGATCAGTGTTGAAGAGTAAGCCAAGCATGAAACTGGTTTGCTGTATATGATGTAATCCTCTTGTTTTCTCTTCCCATGTCGGTATTGTGAATGTTTGAAATACATTCCCCGTGTTGTCTTTACATAATGTTTTCTTTATGATCACTGTTTTTCTTTCACATTTCACAACATTAGTCAGTTATATGAGCAAATAGACTGTGTTAGATGTAATAAATCACTTGTGACTTGGCAAGTAATCCAATTCTCTGTAGGCCGGTGTTACCAAAATCTCCAGCTTCCCTTTTTTTTTATTTTTTTTATTTGTTGTATATATTTGTTTTGCCAAGTTGTAGAAGATTCTCCCATACCAGACTTCATCTGAATGTGAAGAGGATTTTGATGGTTGGAAGTTGTGACAAATGGGCAGACAGACATGTGAGGTGGACTATAAAGACAGATTAATGGAGTGGCAGATGTCAAGCTAGTGTTTTGGTTTACTGGATGAACAGATACAATTTGTCCATAAGACATTATTTTCTTTTGTGCATATATGTTTAAAAATCCTAAAAATGGTTTCAGTATAATAGCATTAAAAAAATGTAAAAGAATGTAAAACCACAAATATTAACCCTTTGACGTGGTCATTTAAATTCCGCGGCCGCGGCTCCTGCGGTAATATATTCAGCCGGCCATTTAAATTTTGCTCGAAAATTATTTATTCATCATTGTTCTTAAATTCTATGAGATAGGAACATGAAACTTTCACTAAAATGATCTTAAATGGTGGTTTTATAACCTTACCTTATAATATGGGCGCCCTGTATCTCGGCCATGGAAGCAGGTTGTTTAGTATTTCAGCAGTGAATGGTACGCCTTGAAGGATGAAACTTTCACTAAAATGATCTTAAATGGTGGTTTTATAACCTTACCTTATAATATGAGCGCCCTGTATCTCGGTAATGGAGGCAGTTGGTTTAGTAGAAGGAAGGCCTTGAAGCATTCGTATAACCCAACGGTGCCCCACGTTCACCATTCTCCGCTCCAATATTGTGTATTTTTTTTGGCCCTTTTTTTTAACCACACATATGTGCGGCCTTGCCTTCTTACCCGTGAGGGGTATACTTCAAGGAAATGTCTTTCCGTGACCCGTTTAGTTGCCAGGTCAGCTGTAGTAAATTCAACGTTACGAGTTATCATAACAAGGGGTTGTTGCTATGCCTTTGATATTCCATCCATTTTGGCGGCAGGAGATGTCGTAGGGGTGACCACAGAATTCATGAAGTTATTCTAAGAACTGTCTGGTATGTAGTGAACGAAAGTAGAGCTTAGCTGGCTCAAAAAAATATTTATGGTCATCCCTCGAAACGACCACCAAGGTCAGTACGATAAAATGGAGTCAACTGGAGCGATAATGAGCGAAGGAATGAGTTCTTTTCCCTCCCCCACACACATCCGTATCGTCTCAGGGGGTGACCACAGTGTTCTGCCTTAAAATGTGGCGTTTTTCTAAGAAATGGGTGCTATGTACTGTGCGAAAGCAATCGATTTTGCAGGCATAAACTTTTGTACATCCCTCTTCTAAGAATTCCAATTGAATAGCCAGCTCAGGGCAATATGATATTATAAACACCAGCACATATCAGTCTCTGGTGTTTATAGCTTCAGAGCAAACAAAACACATCATTCATAACAGAAACAGCTCGCAATAGCCACAGGAACGTTGCTGCAAGACAGGCATATGTAACGACGACTTAGCGCTCTTAAACGCGTGTGTCATTAAATACAGTCCTCCTGACAACAGGCCAGTGAAAAATCTAACAATCTACAGCAAAACCATCAATTATTATGGGCGTTATAACATACGTGTGCAGCTGGACGAAACATACACGTCGAACCCCCCCAGACGATTTAAATCCCTGACGAAACATACACGACGAACCACGGCAACGGGTTAACACACTGATTTGGGTTTCTGGACTTTATCCATCGTCCTAGTTTTTAAGATAACAAAATTTTTTTTTCTTATTAGCTCTCATGGACTTAGCCTGGTCTCAGGTGTTTATAATCTTCATGTTGTGTGACATTGGTTTGTCCAGTGATTGAGGCTGGCTCTTTCTAACGGACCCAACAGAATAGGTGTCCCCCTTTTCCTTCACCTGAGGACGGAAACAGATCCAGTTTCCGAAACGTTGTGTTTTTGTTATCTTAAAAACTAGGACGATGGATAAAGTCCAGAAACCCAATATATCAGTGTGTTATACACCATCGTCAGAATCCTATAGTAACTACACGAATATTAAGCCAGTTACTCCATTATCAAATAAATTAGCAACCGTTTTAGATTGTTACTGCCTTACCTGATTTGTATTAAATCTTTGACATATCATGGATGTCAGAAATGAATAAAGATCTTTTTACAGCTATCAGCCTGCCATAACACCAGCACTGATATGCAGTGCCATATATGTCTGTTGTATGGATAGTGTGCTTGGTATATTGACTTCGAAGAAAAAGGTTTAAAAGTAATTAAGAAGGATAGGTGAGAGAGAAAGGAACACACATCAGGGTGCCAGACAGACATTCTGCTTCTGTGAGTGTTTACTTTTATTCTGGCAAGTGGTCCTCTTTCTCAGCTGTTCAGTTGTTACTTTTAAGTTTTGGTGATGAATGGAGTTTCAGGTTTCTAGTGTTATATTAGTCTTTCCTTTGCAGTGTGCCTCAGGATGTTCGAGTGCTGGTCCCAGGAGCAGGACTTGGACGACTGGCATTTGAAATTGCTCGCCGTGGTTACACTTGCCAGGGCAATGAGTTCAGCCTGTTTATGCTGTTCACGTCCAACTTTGTGCTTAACAAGTGGGTGTGTTGGTTTGCTCACAGAAATGTGTGAGATATCTTAAATTCTGCTTGCAGTTGGGGGTATTCAGCAGGGCTGACCCTAGACCAGCTTGGGGTCTAAGGCAAGTCAGCCTGTGTATAACCTCCATAATGATGTTTGTCATATAAAAATATGAACATGAAATTGATTTTGAAGTCCCTGTTTGCAGGGTGGTTGATTGCCTGTGACACTTCATGATATTGAATTACCATCAGAGTTGCATATTTAATAATGTGGAAAGAATTCTTGCTTTTCCAGAAGTTTGAATTTTCCTGGAAACAAAATAGTCTCTACATGAGTTTGAGTTTTTTATTTTCATCTGTGAGCTCTTAAATGGCTTTCAAAGATAGATCTTTGTGAATTTCTGTATGAATAGATAGCTGTCCAGATAATCTGGAAGTGAGCGCTAGAAGTGATTATTTGTAATAAAGCAAGTAACAGCCATAGAAATGGAGCTTTGTCTTAGTGCTGGATATTTATGGAAAGTGATTGTGTGTTTTAGCTGAGTGGCTGTAGACATTCACTTTTTTCCTTTTGTATATGTTGATGACAAAAAATTAATAGATGCAGGGCATAAGGAATGCGTACATTGCTAACTGAATGTGTTCGTTCAACACATGGCTATGGTGAGCAATAATTATTGCTCACCATTATTATATTATTATATTATATATTATAAATTATAATAATTAATTATAATTAATGGGTAGTTAATCAATGGTAAAAGTAAGTAAAGGTAAAGGTATCCCTGTAACAGGCCATGAAGGCCCAAAGGGTTGTGAGAGTTGAGGTTCCCACATTTTCTAGACCAGTGTTCCGCAACCTATTTCTACTCGTGGCACACCATGAAGTATCCATGACTGAACATGGCACACCGAAATGTTATTCCCCTCAAAAACGTATGATATCATACAATTAATATAAATACGTAACGTGATCAACTTATTACTATAATATTATTATATTGTTATTTTATCATCATTAAACAGAAATCAACTCGTGCATTTATTAACAATTAATGAACTTTAATTCCCTGTAGAGTGTAGACAGCACACTTCTATTACTATTAAAGTAATTACAGTAATTCTACTCATAACTTCAATGTGATACTTGCGCCTGCGTAGCTGCACACAGGCGACTGATCCGTGGTAGAATCGTCAACGCAAGTCTCATTTCTTCATCGATGGATTTGAGCCACTCCCTCTTTTATGTCTTAATTTCAGTTAACATTGAGAAGCCCAGTTCACACAAATATGTAGTTGAAAATGGCAATAACACATTAACTGCCATCTCGGAGATAGCTGCATATCCACTCCTTTTTGCCAACCAAAACGTATCCAGAGGCACTTTGAGAAGTTTTAGTTGCAATGTTCTGTCTGATTTTAAATCTGCGAGTTCCTCTTGTATATTAATCGGAAAATGTTCTGCATTCACAACAAATGGATCACGAACCCAGTTGAAATCTTGTACACTCTCTCCAAAATACTTATTGAATTTCTGCTGCAGCATTTCTAATGTTCTTTAATTGTGTCCATCACCACTTTATTGCCGTCAGCAAGTGGCCATACAATCGGGGACATCTCAAACGACCCATCTGTAATTCTCTAACTAGGAACCAAAATTTGCGAACTACTTCAGAGCACAGCTGTGATAGAAATGAAACAATTGTAAAACGCGGGATCTCTACTCTTCAAACGGAAGAAGTGATACTATACTGACTTATTTTTTAAATATTTATAATTTTCAATGAAGTCCAACAATCAGTGGGTGCATTGTTACAGGAAGAAAGTCATGAAGTTGAAGAAGCTCTAACTTCTAACAAACAGTGGCAAATACCAAAACAGCGTTATAAAAGACAGGAAAACCCATGCTAGTCCCTGCAGTTTTAGGAAGAAGCACGTACACAGAACATTCAGCAAGCATATCAAAGAAGCAGCGTAGATGCAATAAAAATAAAAATAAATCAGTAATGAAAACTGTGATATAACAATAACTGTGAGTAAATAATTTACGTTTAATTTCTTAGAATACATTACTGTACATAAAAATCATGGCATGTAATAAAGAATAAGCATCATCTTATTTAATCAGTGCAGTGGCTGAGAATAAAATACAAGCATATGAAACACGGTAACTGGGATAAAATAAAATGAATAAAATCCGACAATTAATTTCTTACAATAGGTAAAAGTTTGTGTCACACCTTTCACCTTGTGATGGCACACCGGTTGCGGAACACTGTTCTAGACCAAGGGTCTCCAAACTACGGCCCGCGATGTGATTTTATCCGGCCCATGAAAGAGTTGTGCAGAAATGCTCCAATTGAACTAATTTTCTAATGAGTACTGGTAAAAAAATACTTGTTCATAGATTTCAACTGATGTTTGTAATACCTCTCAACTATTAGTATTTTTTCGTGGCGTCGACGATGAACTTAATGTCACACAGGAATTAGCGTCACTTCACAGCATGCATGGCACTACAACAGGAGATGATATCTTCAAAGAAATACAAAAAACACTAACAGAATATAATTTGGACTGGAACCGTCTGCAGTGCGTGACAGTTGATGGAGGAAGAAACATGTCTGGTATAAAAATATGTTTGGTTGGCCAAATCACAAAAGCTTGTGAGGATGCAGGAATATCAAAGCCAATGTTTCTTCACTATGTTATCCACCAAGAAGCACCCTGTGCAAAACACATTGATATGAGCTCTGTTTTAAAAGCTGTTATTTCTATCGTTAATTTCATTCGCTGTCATGCACTTAACCATCACCAGATTCGGTCTTTTCTCGAAGAATATGATTCCGAGCTTATTGACCAGACATATTATACTGCAGTTCGATGGCTTAGCTGTGGAAAAGTTGTTTCGCGCTTCTTTCAGCTCAGGAATGAAATTGATATATTTCTTACCGAGAAAAACCATCACGAAACACTTTTATCAGATACCGAGTGGCTTTGGAAATTAGTATTTTTTGCTGATCTGGTGAACCATATGAACAGTTGAATTTAAAGTTGCAGGGTGAATATAACTTAGTCTGTGATTTATTTGAACTTATCAAGGCATTCAGAGCAAAGTTGATACTCCTGGAAAGCCAAGTGAAAAATTGTAACTTTGTTCATATGCTATACTGTGCAGAGTTGCATAAAAAGGGTGAAGCAGAATTTCCTTCCTTGTTTGGAAATTTAGTCATTTCAGATTTGAAAGAACAATTTTGGAAGCGATTTGCTGATTTGGATGCCAGTGCTCAAAAAATTAGATTGTTTCAAAATCCATTTGACTGTGATTCTGCAGATGTCCCTAGTCAAATTCAAATGAAATTATTGAACGTCAGGAAAATTATCATATATTAAAGACAAATACAGGGAAAGAAATTTGATCAAATTTGATGAATTTCTGAACTCTGAGCAATTTCCGAATTTAAAGATATTTGCTTGTAAATTTATCTCCATTTTTGGGACGACATATCTGTGTGAACAAACTTTTTCCCAGATGAAGTACATCAAGTCAAAATACAGGGCAAATTTATCTGATGAACATTTAAAGTTGCTACTTGTGATTAGCGTTTCAAAATTCGAACCTAAATTTAATCAGATTTTAAGAATGCAAAAAGAGTTCCATCATTCACATTAATTGTTTTATTATAATTTGGGATGAAAATATGAGCATTTGCTGCTACTGTCTGTTGTCATTAATATACGATAATTTATTCTCACATACTTTGTATTTAGTTTATGAAATTCTGTGCTTTCAATAAAACTCATATACCTAGAGTTATTAATTTCTCATTTTATCCGGCCTGTTGAAAGTGCTGAACTACCTAATGTGGCCCGCATTTCGAAAAGTTTGGAGACCCCTGTTCTAGACCATCAGCTCATAGATGGCGGCAAGGTTGTCAGCCTTATGTGCTGGCCGCCTTTTGCCCCCAAGAACATTCCAAGAATATTCCTGGTACTTATTTCTGTTAGAGGCTGAGTCGACCCCAGGGCCATAGTGCGGCTGCAAGGATTAGGCAAATTGAAAAAATCCAATGACCTTATCTGGATTTTAACCCGTGCCCTTCTGGCTTGTAGCATAGTGCCTCAACCAACTATGCTACTAAGTAATGAGTGGGTGTACTGTGAGACAGTGCAGAAACTGTAAATGTTCACTTCAAAGCATGACCATCAGATGTTAATATTTGCTGCCAATTTTTGCAGTACAATAGCAGCTAGCCTCGAGGAAAAAAAGCTATGCAGAGCCGTGTTTCTGGATGTTGCCCAGGCCTTTGCCAAGGAGACTAAAACAGCAATGGCCTACTGACCTCCCCGAAACCGCTGAAGACACGGAAAACAGTATTATCCACCTAGAAGACCAATAAGGGATTTTCATCAGAGGATGAATGCTCCACTCATGCCACTCACCCACAGATTTACTTAATGCTCCACAAATAAGAGAGCAGACTGTAAATACGCAGTCAATTAAAAAAAAAATTTGTTTTGCAGTATATTGCACTGAAGAGGTTTACATTTAAAATTTGATAAGTTAGTGCTGTCATTCTGAACAGAACCGACAAATGTTATCCTTCTATTAGTCATGTCTATGGGGACTGAATTCTCCATTGATTGTATGTATTGTAGCAGTTGATTTGAAAAATATCTCAGCACTTGAACAAAGACGAAGGAAACATTGAAAATATATGGGTGGAAATTGATTCCAGGTGCCGAGGTACAAATGTATATCGTGTATTTCCTTGGGTACACCAGTATGTTAATAATCTGCACCCTGAACACCAGACTCAGGGAGTTTCCTTCCCTGACATCAACCCAGCAGATCTTCCACCCAGTGCTCAGTTCTCCATGGCAGCTGGAGATTTCCTAGAGGTATGGATATATTTGTATCTTATTCCTGATCCAACAGTGAAAACTGATGTATTCTGTATTTAAAAAATTGTCTATAAACTGTTGACTTTTCAGTATCAAATTTTATTTTATTGTGCAGAAGTGGCTTGTCGTGCAAATGAGGGATACATGCCCCAGTAATGAACTGAGTAGTTGATTTTATTGTCCAAATCATAAGACAATTTTTTGTAAGCTGTGTGATTTGCTAGCACTGTTATTTGTTATGTAGGTGTACACTGAAAAAGATGAATGGGATTGCATCTCAACTTGCTTCTTCATTGACTGTGCAAATAACATTGTGGCATTCATTGAGACCATATACAACATCTTGAAGCCAGGTCAGCTCTTCATGTTATTGTTCTTACTTTAAGTATTCTAGTAGGTATTATGCATTCTTTTTAGCCAGTGCAGAACCTGAAATACTGTGGAAAATCATACTGAACTGTCCACATAATTATTTACCAAGCAGGTGATGGATTCGATCAAGATGGTTCAGGACATAAGCCTTTGTTGTTAATACTACAAACATTAGGTTCATAGTGATTATGTAACTAAATATTTTTCTGTTGTAAACTTTCACATTTTAACCCTAGAGTACATAGGACGGCATGTGCATCTTGTTGGTATTTTATTTGAACTACATAGCCACAGATGGGGGTATGTGGTAGTGTATTTTGTTGAGGCACTATGCTACAAGCCAGAAGGTTGCAGGTTTGAGTCCCGATACGGTGGATTTTTTTTCTATTTACATAATCTTTCCAGCCGCACTATGGCCCTGGGATCGACTCAGCCTGTAACAGAAATGAGTACCAGGAATCTTCTGGAGGGGAGGGGGGTAAAGGGTGGCCAGTGCATAAGGCTGACAACCTTACTGCCACCTGTGAGCTTCAACCTTTCACAAACCTATGGGCCTTCATGGCCTGTCAGAAGAAGGATAACTTAACCTTTACATAGCCACAGACAGCTGAAGGGAATCTTTACCATACGTTTGAAGTTATTTTTTATTTATTATTTAGTCCTACCCATTATTTTTGCAATGCTGTGACTTGGTACTGTGGCAATTAGAGTGGACACTCCTCAGGTTAAGCAACTGTTTAGAACAAAAACAAGTGGAATCACCTTACATATACTTGAAAAGTATTAAAGGTTTGTGGTGTGGAGTTAAAAATTGTATTTTTGGTGAATGATGATATTACAGGAGGTTTGTGGATCAACCTTGGGCCCCTGCTGTACCATTTCTCGGATCTCCCAAATGAGAACTCTATAGAACCCAGCTACCAAGTTGTACGTGAGGTGATTGTTGGCATTGGTTTTGAGATAGAGGTATGTTGCATACCGTCTGCATAAGCCTTACAAATGATATTTCCTGGATTTGTTTCTTTGGGCCCTATATTAATTTATTTCCCCAAATGGATTTGTGTGTTGTTCACAGAAAGAGGAGACACATGTAAAGACAACCTATGCCCAAAACCCCAAGTCGATGCTGCGCTATGAGTATGAGAGTGTTTTCTTTGTGTGCCGCAAGCCTGCGTTAGATGATGACAGGAGTCCCAGTCAGACTGGTGGCCGGTAGCAGGTCACTGTAGTTTGCCGCTGCCTGAAAATTTAGTGGATTGAGCATAGCTGCAGTTATGTGACATTCCACCTGTTCAGCCATGGACGAACTCCTATCTTTTCATACTGTGGTCTTCTGGGTTGTGACACCATGTAGTCTTGTAGGTGGGTATCACACGTCCTCCAAAAAGTCTGCCTTGAAGATGAAGGCATTATGTTCCTCTGTAATGCTGGCACCTGCCTATCAGACTACGTGATGTCATGTTATAACCCAGAAGACTACAGTATGAATCTTCACTGCTGTGGAAACTACAAATCTCATAACCACTGTCTTGTTTATGTTGTGCTTCCATTTAACTTTTTTATTTTAACTGTGGTCCCTTCTTATTGTGGAACTATATTTAAAAAGGGACATAATGTGTCACAATTGCCAGTCAGCATCAAGCAATTCAGAACCGTGTAAAAGTCATGTGGTAAAAGAGTTATATCTGTTTACACAGTTATGTTTGCTTCACTTTTTAATGTGAACAGTGTAATATGTACTGTATTCACATGCATAATCATGTACTTAACATACGAGGTGCATTCACCAAAAATTATTATTCCATGCTTACATGCACAGAAGTTGCTTTGCATTTTAATTGTATATCAGTTTATGCAGCACTCTTACATTTGAATCAGTGTCTTATTATCAGCTCTGCAGTCAGGCAGTGATGTGGTGACTCGTATGTATGGATTACCTACTTACCTACCTACCTACCATTCGGCACTACAGCCCTGGGTGAGCCTTGGCCTCCTCTGCAACTAGTCTCCACAACCAATGGGTGCTGCCATAGGAGTGGACCCACACATGATGACCCAGTGGTGGTTGTTAGGTTTCTGAACAAAATTCTTTTTACAGGATGAGGTTGTTAGCCTCATACCCAACCCCATCCTGGAGGACCAGTGTATCTCTCTTAGTCTGGACTCTACCCTTTGACATTTCCGGCATGGGTGACCCTACAGTTGAACTACAACCAGCATAGCTCTCCAGGTCACAGAGTCATGCAAACCGCACCACCACAACAGTTGCTCAGCTAGTTAAAATATTGACTTTGTTATGGCACGTCAAAGGGCACTATAATTTTTGTGTGGACATGCAACTGGTCCATATCTGGAGCCAAATAACTCCAATTGACGTGATTCTGCTTCAGTCTTTATGATTCATTTTAATGTTATTCTCCCACCTGTGCCAAGGTGTTCCAAGTGCCCCCCAGGCTTTTCAACCAGAATTGGAGCACACTGTATGATATGCCACACCCATTTCATTCTCCCTATTTTGGTCTTTAGAAAAATGGTTGGTAAAGAGTACAGATATGAAGTTCTTCATGTATCTTCTCCAGCCTTCAGTTACTTCAAAGATTCCACAAAGCACCCTCTTTTCAAGCATCCTCAGTCTACGTTCTACCCTCAATATAAACGGGAACTACACTAATACATCAGAGTGGACAAATTGTGGTCTAAAGAGCATGCAGTGTCTGGCAGTTAAATCAGATTTACTGATTACAGAATAAATTTGTGAAGTATGGAATTTTTTTGTTTTTTGTTTTTTCCCCCCCACATAATTGAAAAGTTAATGACATGGCCACCAAAAATAATGTAGCTGGGACTGAATTTAAAGTGAGGGTAACTGGGATGTAAGATTCATGTGTCACAGTGACTTACTGCTAAGAACTTCACCAGAGGCTACCTTCAGACCATACCACTAAGTACATGAGTGTAAGAAATTTATTATTCAGCTTTGCCAGAAAAATTATCTGCTGCTACAGATTGGAGAAGATTGTATTCAATTATGGTATCCATAATCACTGATGGTTGGAAAATTCCTGTTTTGTTGAATCAGAAAAGTGTGAAAACCACATAGTCTGCTGCAGCTGATGATAAGGTGTTAGGAAGGTGTGAAGCAGTATTTTTTTACAACCTGATATAGTTTTATAACCTGTTTATTTTGTGTTTTTCAGTGTTTCAGGGTTGTGTTTATATTAAATGGCTCCCATTTTGAAAATTGTATAAGTACATCAAGAATATAGTTCATCTGTATGCTGCTGTTTTTGCCTTATGAAAATATTATCAAGTTTAGTGAAAAGAGGCTGTGTTGCGGATTTGTGGGAAATTTATCTGATTCCAAAATTCATCACAATTATGAGAGGTGAAACTTTGGTCAAATAGTGCAATGATTATTCATGTAAATGTGGTAAATATTGTAAACTACATCTGTAAACTTGCTTATATTCATGCATGTCTCGAGAAAAAGTTTAATCTCACAGATGTTGTACACTTATATTTTGCACCATTTGGCTTACGAAGTATTATTTAGCCCTGAATACTCCATAAGTGAATGACATTTAAGTGATTAGATCCACATTTTAGATAATTGTCTTGTTATGTTCCATTCTTAAAGTAACAAAACTTTAATTTCATATCATTGGGTTCATAATTATAGGATGCTCATGTATGATTTAAATACTCATAAAAGCTAAATACAAAGAAAATGTGTTGAAACGTTCAAGTGCTGGAGGAGGAACACACCAACATCAATCTGTTGGCTGGGGTACCTGTAACATGCTTTTATATAGATCTCAATATTTGTCACAATCTCAGTACTTTATATTACATATAAATAAGAGTTAAAATTGTGCACTATTATACACAAATTAATTGTTTTATGGCAAGTGTTATGTAACTTCAAACAAGGCCAAGAGTAACCATGAATGCGCAGAAGAAAAATTTCAGACAAGCGGGTGGGTTCAAGGGTGTGAGAAGTGACAGGCGGCCAGCTGTTTGTAAGGCACCCCCGAAGCAGGTTATACTTACGGTTTTTCTATCATCTGTTTAAAAACGTCAGTTTCCTTGTGCGCTAAATGAGTAAGAAATTAGGTCAGGGTATAGGTCTACACTTGTTTGAAATTACGTGACACTGTCTATAAATTCCTTTTTGTTGACAATTGTGTTCAATAATTCAAGATCATAACTGTAAACTTGTAATAAAAATTTTTTCAAAATGTGTGACTAAGGAAACCTACTATAATAAACTATAACCATTTCACCAAATTTAAAATTTAAAACAATTCATAACCCTTTTAAGAGTTCATATATGATCACACTTTCAGTATGCTGGGATGGCCAATTGGTAGAAAACATGCTTCCCATATATGGGGATTATGAGGAACATCTGCTACATATCAATAAATAACAAGTGTCATGCAATCTACTTGTGAAATGAACTCCACTCCTTTACCTCTGTGCAGGCAATTTTGTTGTTAAGTTGCATAATATGTTGACATAATCCAGATTCTCAACATGGCATTGCTGTAATTTGAACTTGTTCCTCAGATGTTGCAATCCTTGAATGTGAACCACAAGTGTAAAAAGTGACAAGAAAGTAGGGTCAGATGTCTGTTATCATAGGAGTTTGGTTTTTGAAAATAAATATTCTTCTCGTACAATAGATACAATTCCAGAGTGTATATTTTAAGCTGGTGCATAGTTTGCCGCATGTTGCAGGTATCTGTACCATAGGAACAATTTCCCACAGCAGGAGTTAGGTGTGAGCCCACAGAGCCATTCTGGATGTAGTTGTAAAGAGAAAATTTCTCAGGTCTCCTGTTAACAATAGTACCCCTCATCGAAGCCATAGATATTCATGTGTTCACTACTCATACTCGTATAATGTAAAGCTCAATGGTCTGTCTGAAAAGTTATCTTGTATTCATATATACTGCTAAAGTGATTCAGTATTGATACATGCAATATCAGTGAATAAATTTATATTTAATGAAATTACTATAAATTTTACAGCTTTGACACCAACTTAGACATTAAGCCTCCAGCTATAACTTCAGGGCTTTCACTATGTTGGTAGTCCCCCACCCCAAAGTAGATCAGTTGCTCACTATTTTACTTACCAGAACTGGTAAGTTAGTGTACATAATGAAGTTGAAAACATTTAATTAAATGATTAAAGAGTCAGTAATGGCCGACAGACTTATACTTTAATCTCCTAAGAGGGACTATTTGAAAAAAGAATGCTTTGTGTATATGTGGAGTGTGACTTGTGTTCTTCTGTGAAACACACCACTTGTTTGGTGTGTCAGAGTATACAAGTCATTGCAATATTTGCTGTCAAGTTTTGCCAAGGAAATATATGTGAGAAAAGTTATAAGAATTATAAATGCTAATAAATGAGAACCTTCAAGTACTGTGTGGCACAAAAAAGTGTGATTGGTGACTTCAGATAAGTAACATCCATTATTGTGTCAGCCATTGTTAGGCTTATGTTGCAATTTAATTTTTACATGGGCTCTGTGGAAGCATGAAAATTGTGAACTACTATGACAGATTGTTTTGTGGTAATGAATGACACTCCTTCTGATGAACAAGAAAGGTTCTACTGAAAAGCCATCATGTTGCAGTGTATTAGTAGATGCAGGAGAAAACTGCCATTTTGTGTGTGGATTGAAACTGGATCAGAAAGAAATTCTGTGTTTGGAAGGGCTGCACCAGCTAATTTTTTATGTTTGCAAAGTTAGTCTCTCTTCTTATCTCAGGACATTAAGTAAAGAAATACTGTCTTCTCAGTGGGAGAATATCTTAATTGAGTCATTCATATGGAATGCAGGAGACCCAGGTTGAGTCCCCATTCAAGAGGAAATTATGTATGGAATCACATAGACTGAGGACTGGATAAGGTTAATGTTCTCCCAGAAAAGGCACTAGGACATCTTCATAGCTTTCCTCATGGGGTCAACAATGTAACATGAAGTTTCAAGTAAAGACTTGTCAGGAGTGGGAGTGCTAGGAGTGCATGTAATTCTGGTATTTTTTAATTTCACTTTGTTTCCTCAAGTAGAGATCTCACTGGTGTTCAGTGTTCTCTGTTGTGGTATTTGGCTGTAAGCAGTTATTGGAATGTCTGTGGAACAGAAGTTCCTCTTGTTTATTTCAGAGCTTGATTTGTTTTATCTTATGAGACTCATGTGTAGGGAAGGCAAAGATAGAACATATACTGCAAATTATCTGTGTATTTAATAGTCATTTACTCTTTTCCTGATATGTTGACAAAGTGGAGTTTTTGACTTCTGGGAAATGCCTCAAAATGGCTTATCATTATCACAGCACCAATTCAATTGATTCTGAATATTGTGAATACAGTGAAGATAATGGATTTGAATTACCAGATCAGGATCATAGAAATTCAAGAGTTAGAATTGCTGAAAGTAATCACTCCATTTCTAACTAAGGAAATTCTGTAAGGAAATGCATGATACTTCTGAACCATAAAACAAATTAAAGGACATATTTTAGGAAGAAACATGTACCTTTAGACTGCCAGGCGCACACAGATTTTAGGAAGCAAAGTGTGTGTTTTGTTATGTCACTTAACAGTCTATTCTTTTTGTCAAGTTCTATGAAAACTGTTTTAAGTTTCAAATGAATATTATGCATGTGATGTAGCAAATGGAGGTGTTCACACCATGTTAATAAATAAATACATATTTCTTTATGCTTCTCTGTACTCATATGGTTGATCAACTTACTAAGGTATAAAAAGTGTGAGTAAACAAAATATATCTTGTGGACACTGCAGAATTTTTTCAGATTGGTTTGGGTTAGATTAGACTAGGTGAAATCATGTAAAGTTAAATCAGGTTGGCACATCAGAGACCTGTACACACTGGCAGAACTGAGTCAGGTTAGGGTATCAGACAACTGTATTTGGGCATAGTTTGATCCGAATGGATCATGTTAGTTTAGGTTTGGTTTGGTTGGTGCAACAGACTATTGTGCACCTAAATACATTATAGCAGCAACTGGTTAAACAGGTCTTAAGTTAGGGACAGTAGATAGCTGCACAGTTCTTGTATGAAGATGTAGAATGGTAAATTCACTTGCAACTTGTATATCTAACGCCTATCAGCCTCTGTTGTATCAGTATTTGCACTCATGTCTTTGACATACGCAGTATGCAGAATGTCACACGTTTGTGTTTGTTTGTTGGCGGAGTCACTGCCTTGGTATCATTACCACCTCTGGGAATCATGGCTTCATTCCTTATCCTTTCCAGTTCACTGTTTACTATTATCCAATCTCAACACTGCATACTCTTGAGTTACTGATACCGTTGTTAAACTACAAATATAGATATAACAGGTCATCAGAAATGTACAGAATTTAAGAAAACCAAAGATTCAGGAAAGAGAAGTGCTGTACAGTATTCTGAATTTCCATGGAACAGGTTTGAATCCTGGCAGTGTCATTACTTTTCTTCTTTTGTTAATGAACTTCTCAGGTTCTTAGACGAACCTAATACCATAAAATAGTGTTGTAAAGATAACCAGTAAATCCTTGCAGTGTTTGGCAAAATTAAAATTACAATATGCAACAAACTGTAGCAAATCCGATTTACGCCCGTGAAGAAATTATGAACAGAATAAATTCGGGGAATTTCTTCCACTTAATATCTCGTGTTTCCTCCTATCTACACATAACATGAGTAAAGTTATGTAATTTTACGCATGTATGGGTGTGGAACTTTGTTATTATTTTACTGTAAGAGGGATGAAAGGTGTTTGTTTGAGAAAAAGATTCTGGGAAGAATATTTAGATCGAATTGTTTATTTTACATTTTTATCGAATTCCAACAAATAGACAAGTCGAGGACGCGGCAGCGATACTTATTGCATGCCTATAAAGTCTTATTAGGAGCCGGGATAGCGTAGTCGGTTTAGTGATTGGCTATGGGCTGAGGTGTCGGGGTTCAAGCCCTGGTAGAGTCAAGAATTTTCTCCTCTCGTCGTCCAGACCGACCCTGGGGTCCACCCAACCTATCCAATGGGTACTCGGGACTCCTTCCCCGGAGGGTAAAGCGGCCTGGGCGTGATGTTGACCACTCACCTCCAGCTAGTGCCGAGGTCAAGAACGTGTGTATCTATACGTTCACTCTCCCACACGCCTTCATGGCGTAGTGCTTAATTAGTTAAGCACAGGGACAACTTTACCTGTACCTTACTATAAAGTGGTCTCAACGTTCCTCTTGGTTTAAAGAAACCACTGGCATTGGACAATCGCTTCCTACTGGCTCACAGTTCACAGTAGCCTTAATTTTTTTTTGTTAGACAACGGGAGTATTACTTTCCCGTTTACCACTCGCTTTGCTTGTTCCAAGACAATATGTCCGTCCATAGGTGGCCTCAGGCCTGCCAAGCCAGGGCTAGGATGGACTGTCGAACTCAGTCCACGAACTTTTCGATTGAGTCGGATTCTTCAGCGCGGAATTTGTAGTCAGTTCAGTAATAACGGGCCAAGCATGCATTCGGGGAGTACTTTTATAACGTCAACCGAGAACCGGCTGTCCTGTTCCTACGTAATTCCAGGGCAAGTGCCTTGAAATCTTACCTACTCGCGACGGCTGTTGTAGTCACCCTCGTGCCTGAGTTATCGTAACATACTATTGCAGTTTTTCTATTGCTAGTGAGGCGGGACTAAGTCCCTTGTACTGCGGCCACTTATGGCCTATTGTACCAGCCCCAGATGTTAGGTGATGGTGATTGTGGAGCAATTGGTGGAATTAAGATTGGCAGGGGAAACCGAAGTACTCGGAGACCTGCCCCAGCGCCACTTTGTCCACCACAAATCCCACTTGACCAGACGGGATCGAACCCTGGCCGCCGCGGTGGGAAGCCAGCGACTAGCCCCTTACACTATTGCAGTTGATACAGAGTCCCCATATAGCTTACAAAATCACTCAGCGCGATAATATGCCTGACTTTCATTCAGGAAGTGACTGGTTCCCACTATGATTTTCTTCACACCCACCGGGAAACGCCGGAATAATGCCTGAAGAAGATCGCGATCGCTTCTCCCCACGAATTCTCTCAAGGGATAATTTGAACTTACATTTTTTATTGAACACAAAATAATTACAGTATTTGATACAGAATCATAAAATAATTGAACAATGTTCAGAAGAACACTGTTTTCTGGGGATATGACGGCCTCTAGTCCGGTACAAGATCGCCGACGATTCGCTGGAACGTAGTGCCTATCTATACAGGGTCGAAAGGTAAGTAAGTAAGTAAGTAAGTAGGCCGCGCCATAGCTCAAGCGGTCACTCGCTGGCTTCCCACCGCGGCGGCCCGGGTTCGATCGTAGGTCTGGTCAAATGGGATTTGTGGTGGACAAAGTGGCGCTGGGGCAGGTTTTCTCCGAGTACTTCGGTTTCCCTTGCCAATCTTCATTCCACCAAATTCTCCATCATCATAATCAGTCGGGGCAGGTACAAGAGGCCAATCAGTGGCCGCTGTGCCGAGTGGACCCAGTTGGACCCCACCCCCCACTAAGCGAATTAAAAAAGAAAGCAAAAAGCAAGCAGAACTACGAGATTACACGGCATTACATTCCAGCAGATAGTGCTGTTCATAGTCACCGCTGTACGAACCTCAGTCCAACTTAATCAACGTTCAGTTTACCGATATCGCTGACTTAGCTTGTTCGTTTTTGAGCCTTGAATGACGGAACAAGCATAGAACCCCTGGCATGCTCGAATGAAGAAGTGCTGTCGTCAGACCTCGTTACAGTGACGTCAGTCTTATATCTGTGAATACAGGGAATTTTGATGTAGTTCAGGAGACTGAAGTAGATGTTTGTGACATGGACACGAACACTTGTGGTCCCTTCGTTTGGAACAGGTTCGTGGCCATGGACACTGTTCCAAGATCATGACAGTTTGTGGTCACTGAGCTGGAACTGTATTTGGCGGTTTCTCTTCAGTCTCTCATTTTAGAAAGTTTTTTTTTCAGTCCTTCAGTGTCCTCATAGGGCTTCAAGGAAATTTGGTATACATCGTAAATGCCTATGCAAAGAAACATCGTTTCACAATGCAAAACAGCAATCTTGTTGACTGTGACTTTAGGTTAAAGGCATTTGTGACTAAGTATTATGCCGATGGTAGTGGCCGCACTTGTTACATGCTCTTGGACATTTCGAACACTGTGTTAACAGATTGTAATCTCGCGTGAATTTGTGTGTTCTTCTTTGTTCCTCTGTACAGATCCTGCAGTGGGCTGATCTATCCACCAAGGAGGCCTATCACATGTCTAAAAGATTCACAGTTTTATAATTAATTTTGAAGATTAAATCCATGAAGGCTGAAGGTGCGTTTCGGAGAAGTTATACTGTTAACTGATAATAGCGTCAGAATTACTGGGTTTTTGGACTTTGTCCATCGTCCGTTATTCTAAAAACTAGAAAACAACGTTTCGGAGACTGGATCTGCTTCCATCTTCAGGTGAGGGGGGAAGACAACTACTCTGTTGGGTCCCTCAGAAAGAGCAGAGTAGGTGTCTCCTCCCCCCCCCCACTTGAAGACGGAAACAGATCCAGTTTCCGAAACGTGTTTTCTAGTTTCTAGAATGTCAAAGGCCGCGCCATGGCTCAAGCGGTTAGTCGCTGGCTTCCCACCGCAGTGTCCTGGGTTCGATCCTTGGGTTTGGTCAAGTGGGATTTGTGGTGGACAAAGTGGCGCTGGGGCGGGTTTTCTCCAAGTACTTCGGTTTCCCCCAGCCACTCTTCATTCCACCAAAATTCTCCATCATCATAATCACCCGGGGCAGGCTACAATAGGCCAATCAGTGGCCGCCGTGCCGAGTGGACACAGTTGGACTCCACCCCCCTCTAAGCGATTTTAAAAAAATTATAGAATACCGGACGACGGACGAAGTCCAAAAGCATAGTAATTCTGAGTCAGCTCCCTTAAAATCTACTTGATAACATCGTTTTCTGCACATTGCATAACTCAAATCAACCTCGAACCTTCATACAAGGACCGAGATGTGATTTTTATCTGTGTTCAACGAAATGAGCATTCTGCTCGTTAGGCAGCAATACATGAAATGACAAATTTCCAGCATTTCTCTTCACAGGTAATATGTGCTATGTTAATATTTTTATATATCGTATTTTGCCAGATAATTTTATATGCGTTCATGTACAGAACAACTTTCACATCAAAAGTTATTAGGCACATTGATGTCAGCGCATTTGAAACGTAAGCATGTCCTTTATTTGGAAGAATTCCTCCTTACAAGTCGTCTGTACTTCATGGGCAGCATACGCCCTACATTCTGTGCTATTGTAACCAGAACGGATGCCCAGGATGACAGGAGCTTTCTAATACGTGTGTCCATATCAGAGAAGCATGTGAAAGTTTGTAGGCGCTTTAGGTATGAACACTAGACTGCTAAGAAATAAGGAACTGGCCATGTCAAGTTGAACTGTTAAAATCGCATTTATGACATCAAATTTCTTGGAAGTTTTTTGGTTCAATTGGCTCAAGTCTAGTGGTGGATTCTTTTGAATACAGTAGATGGACCTACGGGCTCCCGTAACGGAGGGAAATTCATTGACCATTAGGGTAACTGTAAGCTTTTCAAGAGGTTAATAATACCACCTATAGGCCTATACTGAGCTAACTGTACATGACAGCTTCAAATCAGACGCACTGTATCTAGCATCAATGTTA